GAGACTGTGATGAATTCCACTTGGCTGACACCTTTGACTTTCGTCAATACCTTCCAAAAGAGATGCTTATGGAGGATAAGGAGGAGGAAGACGAACAGGGTGGTTCAGATGGTGAAGCAGACTTCGAGGAGGAAGAGTTGTCGCGTGCGATCATGGAGGGCTATATAGGTACCAATTATTTTTTCGCTGCGTTTGAAACTCGGGGAACTTTCCTGAGTAGAAATTTTTAAACAGCTACGTGTTCCTTTTAAATGTTTGACTACGTTGCTCATACTGGGGTTACAGGATACCATACTGCCAGCACGGCTACTAGCTAAAAACCTAGACACGTGTCTCGCCGACCTTCTGCCGCTGCATGGCATAGTATGTTGCTCATTTTATGACCAACGTCATACGTTATTTCCAGTGAGCTTTTTCAGTGTTGTGATTGACGAGGATCTTCAGCCCTTGTGATTATTTTTTAGAGACCTGGGCAATTCCGTGCCGTTTGATCTGAGCCCCACGAGTGACTTTCGGGGACTACCTCTATTATGTCTTAGAGTACCATACGTGCATTTGCCTATGTTGAAATGTCTGTATAAGGCAATTTCCAGTTGAGTTGGAATCGGTTTGGCCGCAATAGACGTAAATTCATCTCAAACCGCCCAGAATTTTGTGCCATTTCGAAGAGCGAACTTGCCCTGGCACCCTCGTTGTTTCATTACCAGCCACCATCATTTGGCCGTTTCGCAGATTTCCTCTACTTTTTTGACGACAGTGACAAACTGAGAGTGCACTGGTTATTCCAAGTACGAATGTGTCTGAGCAGCCTAGCTGGACGGCCGTGATGTTTGTGTTTTGAGACGACTGCATGCGTAGTAGACCACCCATGAACTGCCATTATGCGAGCCAAATAAAACCTAGGCAGGAGGAGGGCTTGTGGTTACATGCCACGTTCTAATGCGTGCGCCTGATATATGCATCAATCGAGCGATCACCGTGAAAGCCCATCTAGATTCAATCTCAGCAAGGCCAACTTCGAATCCTTCCTTTCGTGGTTGAAATGCTTACGAGGAAATTGTACTGTACCACCCTCTTCGACGTCATTTATACTATAAAATTTGTGAACGTCCAAATCTGTTCTCGATCCTGAAATGCTCAGAAAAGCAGTTTTATAGCATCCATTACAAACAGCTCTTTGTACACAAGAAAGATTAAACGGCATCCTACTTCGTCCTGCCTGTTGGTTATCTATGTGTTCTGTGGCCTTTAGTTTCCAGAGAATCCTGCGAAGTAAGCAAGCTTTGTGTCTGACGAATAAGTAGTCTGCAATCATTCAGGTATAATGCCTTTAAGCGTGTCAGGTCAACAAGCCATAGCTGTGTTACATGGCTAATGCTGCCCGCCGTCACTTTCGTCCAACACAATCCCTGAACCCCCGACTGGTGTGCTGTGAGTGCCGATAGGGACATTGACGTTCGAACCGATGATCCACAGGAAGTCATTCAACAGCCACACCGCCCCACAAAACCGCCCTCTGATGGGCCAGTACGATATCCTTCTGTGAGTAGAGCAGAGTTCTCATGTCGAGTCACCATCAAAAGGATGCGTTGGCATAACAGCTCCTAATGGAAGCCTGCCATCCTATAAGGCCTTGGTGGATGCTAGATACTCCGAGGCAGAGCCAGGACTAAGTATATCAGACAACGAGTGAGTATCCAGAGTCGTGGAAAGCCGATTTCAGCTGCCGATATTAGATAAGCTTAGTGGTCTGCCAACGTACTAACCGTCGGTCTCTCTGCTGCGCTTAATACAAGACTGTCGGGTGGGGCGCCTGACGTTGCTTCTTTGCCTGACCACTTTCTCTCACCTTTCTTGCACAGCCTTTTTATCGTCTTCCCTGATCAATGATACATCTCGCCTGCTCATTTTGTCTTCCAGACTCCGACGAAGGATATCATGGCAGCGATGAACAGAGGCCTGTCAAGAAAGGCAAAAAGACTAGGGTGGATAATGTAAAGCCTACTGTCAGCCCGCAAGAGACAAAACCAGCTAACCGCAGAGGCGGTCGTCGAGTGCGGAAGAAACACTCCGCTGCACCAAGAGTGATAATCCTTGGCCGCACCGACACAGAAACGGTCCGACAAAGGACAGACGCCTTCGTGACTGAACGGTTATTCTCCCCTAATGCAAATGGCCCCTTCATTCGACGCATGAACCCCGCCACCCTGGAGGCGCTCTCGGCCAAGAGGCGGGTCCCTTTCAGAAAAAAATAACTCATTTTGTAGTCCAGCCGTTTCTTTTGCGAATGCCTCTGTACATATACAACCCTTATGTAATCTACAAGGTCTCATTCTTCGCTGTTCTTGGACCCTCGAAATAGTTTGCGCTGTAGCGTCAGGCCTGAGATCCTGCATATACGGCTTGGTCTCAGAAACTGAGACAAGGTCCCTCATAACGACTTATAAAATAAGTTCATGGGGCTGCAATAGTGTGCGAAGCCTAATTTGGCTGTGGGTGGGGACCAACGCAAAGTCGCACCCGTAAAGGTCTCTGTGCCAAGTTTCGCATCCTGTCGCCGCGGTTTGGGTTTTGTGACTAGTAAACCTTGAGTATAAAATGAGGGTGTGGTCCGTGTTGTCAGTCTCACTTTAATCTACCCGCAGCAGGCGCGGTAGTCTGACTCCTGAGTGTGTTCGGGGACTAACCCTCTTCTAAGGCTGAAAATGTCTAGGAGTTTGATTCTCCGTGCAGGTTTATGATCTACCGGGTGAGCATAGGCGTCGCACGCGCGTGTGTGGTACGCCTAGATCGCTGCTAGCGTTTGCGGTCAGTGGACAGAAGCCATTCGGGTCAGGCTGCGGATTCATGCACGAACTCCTCATCAAGGAAAGGAATCAAATACGGGTAATTCGTGCACATGGGTTTGCAGTATAGGATGCAGTCGCTATGCCGCCCCACGCCTATGAAAATCAACGGCTCCCCCATCGAAGACGGTCGCCTTTGGTGCGATAATTGCTTAGCAAGTGAGCACTGTGCTCCACTCATTATTTACAACAGAAACAGATTTTGGACACGTAGGTGCCTCAGCACATCTGACGACCCCATGGCCACGAAACTCGACCGACAACAAAAAGGTGTATTGATTCAAAAAATCTTATTGCAAATAAATCCATACTAGACGGTGTAAATCAGGCAAGGAAGGAAAAAGCTGTATGAAAACAGATGAGGTTCGTGGGCCTCACTCTGTGAAGCTGTTTCAAAAGGAGCCTTAGAAATAATTTCATATAAAATAAATATGTTCAAAGGGGTAGGCAATTAATAAAACGGAGCTGAGCTGATCGGCGGATGGGAATTTGAAAGGCGGCAGTCAGTAACCTTTCTTGTGCATTTCTTCCTGCAACCACTCGTCAGTTATGTCGTCCAAGTCTTGGACCTCAAAGACCTAACCGTTAAATGCTAGGCAAAGAACACAATACCTTTGTGACTTGGGAGACGTCAATAAAGTGGTGCATTGTGCCAGCGTACATCATTTTGTGGTTTGGCGGGCTGCCTGATGGACGGACACAAGGAAAAGGCTTGAAATGAAGACTACACGCGGCGTTTTAACCCAAAAATTTATATTAGAGACGTATAAAACGGTCGCTTACGATGCCGATACTCTGGAGGAACATCGTCATAGTGAAAAATAACGTACTACCAGAGCTCGACAAAGTGGCAATATTAGGCACAACAACCGGGTGCAGGAAGGCCACTAGCGGAACACCCATCTAATGACGCAGAATTGAAGACTTGTTAGAAATTCCGTTCAAAGGGTCGAAATGCACTGCAATGATCCGTGCAAACTGGCACAAGAACTTCTGTATACCTGCAACTAATGTGCAAAGAACAGCTACCTCTGGGTATTTAGTCAGCCCCACCGAATTAGCCCACGGGAGGCAGAGTACACATCAAATATTGGTACTCTACCAGAAAGTCACCCGAGACAGAACACACTGCCGTAGGTATTAGCATGGGTACCACCTGTCGACCAGGTGATATTTTGCGCGAACATCCTGCGAATCGCAAACAAACAAGACGCAGAAGAACAAGCTGGCGCCGTTTATCAAAACCCACAACAAAACTGTGGCTTCAAGTATTCAGGCAAGACCAAAAGAAGACCCGGCTCCCGATTACACAATCACAAACTGGCGGTGCGGACGGTTGGTTAGCTGTCCGAAGTCGCTGATCACGCCCTGGAAGTCGACCGAGAAGTGGACTTCGAGCACACACTTAATAGTCTGAGTCAGCAAGAAGACAGGGCAAGAGTTGCTTGACAACAAACCTAAAACAGACATATCGTGTTTTCGCCTACCTACCACGCGTCGAGTTCATTGCCCGAGGACACAACCCCTTCTAAGCCAGGAATGCAGACAGTAAACATGCGGCGATAAGCCACAAGAAGCTGTACATTCACTGCCATCCCCTTAGCGTCACTGGTCGTCAGCTAAGTAATGGAAGACAAAGTGATTGAATTCTTGAACCAAAGATAAGTGATCCCAATTTTAGAAAGAATGGGAGAAAAGGGGCTGTAGATCGGAGACCACTGCAGATGAGATAGGGAAATCTAGGGAACAACAGCTCAAGACATTGGTACAGGATTGGCAACATAAACACATTCGTCCGTCAAATACACCTCGCAGCAAAAAGCGACAAGCTGTGTAAGTATGCCGATGACTAATGGTCCTTATTTCAGTCTTCATTCTCGACCAGGGTAAGATAATACGAAGTCTTTTGATATTCGCAAAGTTATGGATAAAGGACCCGAGAACGCTTTAAATTGGCAGTTTAGTTCCTTGGTTAGACATTACTAAGAAACTTGGACTATGTGGTCTTATGCGGTCACATGAGAAAATCAGCAATGAATCGGGCTATGAATCAAAATAAACTGTACTACACACGCATGGTTAACTCAACAATATGCAAAAATCCAAAAGGAGTGAGGAGACGCGCATTAGTCCAGTCGAAATCTCAACTTTAAAATATGCAGTTCAGACTCTAAATACGATGTAAACACTTTCCAACAATTTGTAAGAAATTTCGTCTTAAAATGGAGGCCACTATTGAAGCCTAAAACGACCCTATGGATGAAACACTTTCCGTGTAGGCAAAAACAACAAGTAAAAACGAATACACAGCAAACTTACTTCGTGGACTGACAAATAAGAGGCAGTACGGATAAGAAACGCGAGAGTCGTCGTGATTCAGAGCGTAACTAAGCAGCACAAATCGGGGTTCGTTTGGGGCGAGCTCTTCAGGTAGATCGTCGATCGAAATATCCTGTCATAAAGAATGAAAGTTTTAGAAAGAACATACGTTAAGTTCCTTTTCCACTTCAACTGCCATCGATTTTGTGTTGATTTTACCTGAAAAGAGGTCATCAAAATGTAGCTCGAGCGTACATATTATGGCGCAGTTAGTTTTGGACTGACTTAATTTAAAAGATCGAAATCTCCGGCTAACGTCCTCGGGAATTGAGGCTATTGCCATGGACTAGAAAGTTTGGATAGAACATGGGAAGAAACAGCTACCATTTTTGAGTTGATAGTTTGCGTAAGCGAATGGAGCAGCCTTGGAGCCGTCGTAAAATAGCAGTGCAGGTATTACGCAGGCAGGTGTTCTGAAATAGTGAAATAAAAATGAAGTTATTGTAGGCCTAGATGTTTGAAAAACGCTTAATATATAAAGACTACTTGATTTCTTTTTGCTACCGATAACCATTGAACGGAGTGCTTTATTTGAAAATAGGAACGTTCGATCACAGGGACAACAGTTGTTTTGGTCCGTCACAAACAGCCACGTAGGCATATTCCCTGCTAACACGCGTTGCGCTCAGGTGGTCAAATGAAAGCACGAGGTCACCACATCGAGAG